AGCTGCTGCTTGTCCCGCTGCAGCACCTGAGCCTCCTCTACTGCTCGCTGCAGCTTGTTTGTCATCTTGCTGAGAGACAATTCAAATGCATTTTCTTCTTTTGCTGCTAGGTGCACCACTTTGTTTAATTCGGCGTTCTTGCGGCTGGTTTGCCGCAGCGCTTGCTGCAGTTGCTGCAGCTGCTGCTGCTGCTGCTCTCGCTGCTCCTGCTGCTGCTGCCGCTCTTTCTCCTGCTCTTTCTTCTGCTGCTGCAGCTTCTGTAGAGCCTCCTGCAGCAGCAGTTGCTGCTGCTGCTGCTGCCGCCTTGCTGCCTCCTTGACCTCTGTTATAGAAGCACTAAAAGCCCTCTCAAGTTGCTGCAGCTGCTGCTGATGTCGGCGTCGCTGCTGCTGCAGGTCCTGCTGCTGCTGCTGCTGCTGCTCTTTCGTGCTCCGCTCGTGTCTCTCTCTCAGCAGCAGCTGCTGCCGGTTTGCTGCAGCAAGTTCGTCTTGCTGCAGCGCTGTCTCTTCCTGCAACTCCTCTACACGACTCCATGCCTCATCTCTCTCCTCCTGCAGCTGCTGCAGCTGCTGCACGAGCTGCTGCTGCTGCTGCTGCAGCGCTGCTGCTGCTGCCTGCTGCTCCTGCTGCTGCTGCCGCTGCTGCTGCTGTTGCTGCTGGTGATGCTGCAGCAACTGCCGCAGCTCCTCCACTTCGTCGGAATACGCAGCAAGCTGGCGCTTTAAGTGATCCAGTGCCTCTTGCTGCTGCTGCTGCTGCTGCTGCTGCTGCTGCTGCTGCTCATGCTGCTGCTGCTGCTGACTGGAAGCCTGTGGTGGTGCGGGTGTATCTGTCTCTACTTTTGCTGCTCCCCCTGTCATCGATGCTGCTGCTGCTGCTGCTGCTGCTGCTGCTTCTGCTGCTACTCTTACATTGGACTGGGGGCTTCTGCACCCATCAGTAGCAGCAGCAGCAGCATCAACGGCAGCAGCAGAAACAGCATGTTGCTGCTGCAGCAGCTGCAACGCGAGACGAGCGACTTCCAGAGCATCACCTGCAGTACCTCTCAAACAGGGACAGTTGCTGCTGCTGCTGCTGCTGCTGCTGCTATTGCTGCTACTGCTGCTATCGCTGTTGTTTGTATTGTTGCTGCTGCCAGTGCTGCTGCTTGTATTGGTGCTGCTGCTGCTGCTGCTGCAGCACAGCGTTGATTCGGCGTCCCTGATGAGGCCCTCCGACGCCTTCCCACTGGCTTTTTCTGCTGCTGCTGTTGCTGCTGCTGCTGCTTCTGCTCCTGCTGCTGCTGGTGTTGCTGCTGCTGTATTTAAGCGCGGCGATGAATTTGAGAGGTCCACCTTGGCAGCGGGAGCAGCAGCTGCATCTGCGCTTGCTGCTGCTGCTGCTGCTGCTGCTGCTGCTGGTGCTGCTGCTGTTGGGGTATCTGGGAGAGCAGCAAGATACTGCAGCAGCTCCATTGCTGTTATTGCATGCAGAGCAGCATGTGATTCCTCTGGTAGTTGTTGTATGGTCGACAGCAGCAAAGACGAGCTGTCTCTCCCAGCTGCTGCTGCTGCTGCTGCTGCTGCTGCTGCTGCTGCTGTTGCTGCCGCTGCTGGTGCTTCCGGTGCTGGATCTGTTGCTGCTGCTGCTGCTGCCGTTGGTGCTTCCGGTGCTGGACCTGCTGCTGCTTCTGTTGGTGCTGCTGTTGTTGCTGCTGCAGCTGCTGTTGGTGCTGCTGCTGTTGCTGCTGCTGCTGCTTCTCTTTTAGTGCTGCAGCCTGTCACCTGCAGCGCGAAACTCTTGTTGCTTTTCGTCTCTAATGGCTCCTCTCCCGTCTCTGTTGCTGCTGCAGTCTTTGCTTCTTCCGCCTTTGCTGCTGCTGCTGCTGCTGCTGCTGCTGCTGCTCTCGCCGCTGCAGGGTTTGCTTGAGTGCTGCACGCCTCTACCACTATTGAGACCTCACGGGCCTGATGGAGAGTCAATGCTGCTGGAGCTGCTGCTGCTGCTGCTGCTGGAGCTGCTGCTGCTACTGCTGTTGTTGCTGCTGCTGAAGGTGCTGCTGCTGATGCTGCTGCTGCTGCGCCTGCTGCCTTTGCTCGCCGTGCTGCAGCACGAAGTCCGCAGGCACCGCCCCACGAGACGCCCTGCAGCCACAGCAGCAGCAGCAGCAGCAAAACCAATACAGCAGCAGCAAGCAGCAGCAGCAAGAGAAACAGCACAGAGCAGCAGCAGCAACATCAGCAGAAGCTGCAGCTGCTGCAGCATACACAATGGAGGGGGTTCAGCCCCCTCTCTGCTCCGCTGCGGCATACTGAGCGTACACCGGAGGCATGAACAAGGGTTTAGGGTTTAGGGCTTAGGGTTTAGGGTTTAGGGTTTAGGATACTCGGGTAGCAGGCTGAGGCCTCAGCTGCCGCCAGAGGCGATCGAGCTGCTGCTGCTGCAGATCGAAGTCGCAGCTGCTGCTGGCGTCTCCAGCAGCAGCAGCAGCAGCAGCTGCTGCTGCTGCTGCTGCTCGCTC